ATTATTTTCTTTTTTTTTTTTTTTTGTCCTTTTTGAGACCGGCCGCACCGCGCTCAGCCAGTGAGCACTGTGAGCGCACCGTCATCCCTATATAGGATCCGAACCCGCGGTGGGAGCGCTGCTGCGCTCCCAGCGCCGCACTCTCCCGAGTGCGCCACGGGCTCAGCCCCTAATTATTTTCTATACATTAGTCCCCTTTATCCAAAGGAGATATGTTCCAAGACCTCCAGTGGCTACCTATTCTAAATGAACAGAAAAGCAAAGTGCAGAACATTATAGTCTTTCCTAATTATTTTCTAAAAATGTGGGTATGCAGATGTGAGTACAGAGACTGTCTAGAAGAATTCAAATACAATGCTCAGAGAAACAGAATTGGGAGTTGGAATGGAAGTCATAACGGATGATTACTTTTATATTTATATACAATTTTATTTTTTTTAGAAATTTGTCTTACTTTTATAAAGAAGAAAAATTTTATTCTTTGTAAAAACTAAACAAAACTAAAGAATAAGAAAAGGATATTTAACAGAATTTGATATGGCCAAATTTTGAACCCAAACAACTGCAATCTTGCATATGTCAAAAGACCTGTGATTGTGATCTACTATAGTAGCTGATTGGTTAAAAAGTAAGACATGAAGAAAACAGTGGTTTCCTGCTAGGGTAGCAGAGTACAAGAGAATTTTCTGGGGTGATGGAAATGCTCTACGAGCATACTCCAGTTCATGGAAAGATTTGTATTATCTTCTAATTTTATTTTTCCACAAACTTTTTGAAGTACCCTCATATATCTTGATTGGTATGGGTCTTAGTTACACAGTAATACACAGCCGGCAAAATTCAGCAAACTATACATTAAAGATATCCCCATTCCACTGTATGTAAATTTCACCTTTAAAAAACTGAATAGAACGAGAAGCCTACAAAATCAACTTTTAAATTGCAAAAATCATACTTACAGTAAAAAATGAAAGAAAAATGTTATAAGTGAAAATCTCCTTTTACCCTTTCTCCCAATCCAACCTCCTCAGAGTTAACCAATGTTAATAGTTGGATATGTTATAGCTTCACTTTTTTCTATATGTAAATAAATACACATAAACATGAAGTTATATTTTTTAATTGCAAAAAATTGTAATTATCCTAAGTACAGCAATTTGCTTTTGATACTTAACAACTGATCATGAATATCTTCTCTTATTGGTACATATAATTTTCCCACATTAAAGGTCATATCATGCATGGGTAAATCATAATTTATTAAACCATTACTCTATTGTTGACCACTAAATTACCTTAAAGCTTTGAAAAAATGGGTATTTTTTTGGGCCGGCCCGGTGGCACACTGCTACAGTGCGCCGCTTGGGAGCGCGGTGGCGCTCCCGCCGAGGGTTCGGATCCCACATACAGACCGATTCCCGCTCACTGGCTGAGCAAGGGGCGGGAGCAACACTGAGGGTTGCGATCCGTTGCCGGACACGGAAGAAGACAAAAAAGGAAAAAAAAACAAAAAAAAAAAAAAAAAGAAAAAATGGGTATTTTTTTGGGCCGGCCCGGTGGCACACTGCTACAGTGCGCCGCTTGGGAGCGCGGTGGCGCTCCCGCCGAGGGTTCGGATCCCACATACAGACCGATTCCCGCTCACTGGCTGAGCAAGGGGCGGGAGCAACACTGAGGGTTGCGATCCGTTGCCGGACACGGAAGAAGACAAAAAAGGAAAAAAAAACAAAAAAAAAAAAAAAAAGAAAAAATGGGTATTTTTTTGGGCCGGCCCGGTGGCACACTGCTACAGTGCGCCGCTTGGGAGCGCGGTGGCGCTCCCGCCGAGGGTTCGGATCCCACATACAGACCGATTCCCGCTCACTGGCTGAGCAAGGGGCGGGAGCAACACTGAGGGTTGCGATCCGTTGCCGGACACGGAAGAAGACAAAAAAGGAAAAAAAAAAAAAAAAAAAGAAAAAATGGGTATTTTTGTACTTATTATAACCCTTAGATTAAAAATATTTCATACCATAATTAGTGATTTTAAAATGCTCCTTACAAATAGAACTCAATTATAATATAAAAGCCTATTTTTCAACTTTTAAGCACATGACTTCCAAATACATAAATAAGTAGGACAATGCCTGGTACGTAGTAATTTTATGTACTCATTGATTTATGAATAAAATTTTATAAACACAACATCAGTGGTGAAAGGAGGAAATACGATGCTTTATATTTTTGTTGTAGTTCAAAAAGAAGTTTTAATTTAGCACTGGAATCTCATAAGAAATACAAGTAAACAAACGAAATGAAGCCTCTCAGAAAGTGAAAAAAATGATCACCACACTAAATGGACCTAAAATGTATTATTCTCAAGATATTTGGGCCCATTACCAGTCTTCTTTTACCAGTAATATTTTCCATAATAGTATATGATGTCTGTATTTATGAATTTGTGAATTCCTGTTTATCAATATAAACTTGCTAACAATGGAGCAACTTAGTTTTACCACCAAGCAGTAAAAATTCCTTGTGACAAATTTTTATTCAGAAGAATGTAGTTTGAAAATAAAATAGTAACAAACCTGGGTCCAATAACCGGAATAAGTAAGATATCCTGAAGATCTGGATGTTGAAGAATAGGAACACTTAATCCATTAAACTGCTGTTAAAAATAAACACATATGATTATAAAGCAATAATATATTTAATATATTTCAATTTATGGAGCTTTTCATTACCATTATCTACCAGAGCATGAAGCTTAGTTTGGGTGTACTTTTACTTTATTCCATGAAATACTGTAAAAATCAAAAAAGACCTTAAAACTACATTGTTTTCTCTATAATTTAATGCTGATGTGTCCTGACTTCTTTATGACTCAATTTTGCATACTGTTTGGCTTTATAAACACAAACTATGTTCAACTTAAGTGACTTACTTCGAAAATATAGATCCAATACAGAATTACATATAGTACTCATTTAGAAAATCTTCTGAGTAAGACATTAAAGACTGAGATAACTAAATACTATTAGACATTATCAACACTGGAAGCCATGTTAGTTTTGGAGAGGGAAATAAATTCTTTTGGCAAAGGTTCAGAATTTCCATCATCCTCTATCGTACTTGGCTGTCAAATGGAAATAGGTACAGGGCCAGTGGTATAGGTGCTGGAGGCAGCTCACACAGGCATGGGAGACCCATTGTATGCACCTCTTCCTTTTTCTGAGGTCACGCTGGTAGCTTGAAATTAACCACAGTGGGAGTTTTTACACTATGGAAATTAGTGAACACCACAAATCATCATTATTTTTCCCAGAAAGTGGGTTGTTAAATATGAACCAGTGTACCACTGTTGCCGACAGAAGATGACTGGGCATCCTATGCAGCAGAATAAAGAGTAGCTGCATAGTGGACTGGATAACAGGGACTGTATACTCTGTCAGAGGGCAACATGAAAATATCTGAGACCAAGCCTCTTCCAGGTAGGCCAGATTTATCAACTCATTTTCACATACCACATGAAAGAGCAATAACGATGATACAAATTTGTACTGTATAGTATCCAACGCTCTCTAGAGAAAACTTCTAAAATCTACTTATTTTTAAGTAGATAAGGAAAAAAAAAAGAAACTGCCCATATTTTAGAACTGTAACTACATTTCTACCAAGTCAACAGCTCTCTGGACTTCTGCTTCTTCCAGACAAAGATATTTCAGGTTGTGACCATATCCAACAGACAGCTAATAAGCAATCTGTAGGGTAAACTCCTTTTCATTTGATGAGACCACTCTCTCATTGTTTTGGATGCCTTACGGTATTGACTACAGAAAGCAGATCTTTCCAAAGAGAAGAAAGACAATGAATTTTGTCCTTTCTTTTTGTTTTGTTCTATAAGTACAATTTGCTTTATTCTATAAAAATATTTCACATAGAGATCAATTGTTCTCAAGCCAAGGATTTTCTTCTTTCCTTTTCTATCAGGAGCATGTTAAAATAATACAGAAATAAAAGTTTCATAAAACCACATATGTGCATAATTCTCATAACACAAACTTTTTTTTTCCAAACTGAGCATATCACCAGCTTCCTTTTCTGTTTGTTTCTGTCCTATAGTCTTTTTGTAACAGCCTTATTGAGGTATAATTTACATACCATAAAATCTACCCATTTAAAATGCACAATTCAATGATTTTGGTTAATTAAAGAACTGTGTAATCATAACCACAATCCAGTTTTAGACAATTTCCATCAACCCACAAAGAACCGTCATGTCCATTTGCAGTCGATTCCCATTCCCAGGCAACCATTAATCCTTCTTTCTCTATAAATTTGACTTTTCTGGACATTTCATGTAAATGTAATAATACAATAGGAGGTATCTACATCTGGCTTCTTTTGCTTAATGATGTTTTGAAGTTAATCCACGTTGCAGCATATATCAGTGGTTCATTACTTTTACTGCTGAACAGTATTCCACTGTATGAATATATCACATTTTGCTTATCAATCCACTAGCTGATGGACACTTGGATAGCTTCCCCCTTTTGGCTATTATGAATAATGCTGCTATGAACATTCATATTTAAGAATTTGTGTGGATATATGTTTTCAGCTCTTTGGGGAAGATACCAAGGAATGAAATTGCTGGGCTATATAGTAAGTTTATGTTTCGTTTTTTAAGAGACTACCAAATTGTTTTCCAAAGAGGTCATACCATTTTACATTCCCACCTGCACTGTATGAAGGTTTCTGTTTCTCCACATCCTCACAGGCCAAATGAAATTTTAAATTATTATTTTCAATATGTGGCCCAGAGAAATCTGGGGACAAAGCACCTTTTATATTATACCATTTGGGACACCTCTTTAGGACACACGTGAGCTTTGCAATGTGGAAAGAGAAAGTTTATAGTATAAAGCCTCCTCGAAGTCCTCTTTCTTGCTAGAATTAGGTACTGCTCTACAATGAGTTTCATATCTAGTGCCTATGACCCAAGCTTCCCTGTCCAGGGAAAGGAAAGGAAAGGAACTCAAAGCCCAGACTGATCCTGTTTGCCCTATCCTAGATCCTAGCCCATGAGAATATGTATAACTGTCAGACTGGGATAACAGAATATGCAGGTTCTAGGAGTAATATGCTCGAAAAGAAAACAATCAGGATCTGCCCGAGTTGGACACCTCTGATGATCTCAGAACAGTTTCCTTTGTACTATCTGAAAACACACATATACATGTCTATGTAAAAATCATTATAGTTGCTTAGGCAACTGCTTATATATTTATGCCTAATGTCATCACTCTCAATAAGATTATAAGTAAAAAGCAGATTAATTTTTCTCCAAGTCCTATTTAATTATTACACTAAGTTTTGATCTTACACACTAGATACCATAGCTGGTTCTTCCTATAACACGGTCATCTACTTGCAACTTGATAATTATAGAATTATTCTTAAGGGGAGTATGACAAACACTCCAAATATGTAATGAAATTAAAGAAAAAGGGATAAATGAATCAATACCCCTTATAATTCTCTTAAAATTTCTAAATGTTACATCTAGAGTAAACTGATAACACAGCCTATGATACACAAATGGAAACCCTTTAATCATTCTTGCCTCCTGCTTTTAATTTAGATATAATTTAGAGAGAATGCTGACATCCACCACTTACTTGTTGTAAGAGATTTGATAATTACAACATGCAATTTATGAGGTACCTCCTCAAGCATCTGTTTTCCTCCATCTTACATTTCTTTAGAGGCAAATTTAAGTGTACAGTGTATGAAACACAAAATGCAAAGGTTTTGAAAGCAAAAACATAAGACAATATAAACAAGATAACTCAAATATTTTTCTGCTTGGAACTCATAAAATGCCATCTTATGATATTGTTTTTACTTACAAGAAGAACATTATGCCAAAGCTATTTTACTGGTTGGACAATAAATGTCTTGTTTTATTTTAAAAATACATTTTTTATATTGTTCTGATTTCCTGGTTCTATTAAAGATTAGGTACTCCAACATCTAGTTTTTATGTCATTTAAAAATATAATCCTACAGGTACTCAATAGGTACTTCCCTCCTCTGGGGTCATTTCACCTATACAATCTGTCCTCCTGATTAATATGCTCCTTATTATCAAGTCACATAATTTTAGGGTTAGAACAGACCTTTTCACAGGTATTTTCATGATGAAGCTACTGAGGCCCAGACGGCTTGAGTGTCCTACCTGTCACTAAAAATAAATTCAAGGGCCAGCCCCACGGCCCACTTGTGAGAGTGTGGTGCTGATAACACCAAGGCCAAGGGTTCAGATCTCTATATAGGGATGACCAGTTAGCTCACTTCGGAGAGCGTGGTGCTGACAACACCAAGTCAAGGGTTAAGATCCCCTTACCGGTCATCTTTTGAAAAAAATAAAAATATATAAAAATAAATTCAGAATCAGAAGTGCTAGGTTCAAGTTCTAGCATTACCGCTTACTATAACCTTGACAATTTAGCTTTTGTGATCCTCAGTTTCCTTATCTTTAAAATTGGAATACCATTACATCATTCATAGGATTTTAATGGGGAGCAACATAACATAGATTGTTAAAAATGTAATTATGTACAAAATGATGAAAATTTGCACAGACCTTCTGAAGTTCATCAAATAACAGATTTTTCACATGTTGTACTGAGGCTAAATGTGTATTCACTCTGACTGTTGTGAATGATGGAGGGTGCGACAGGCGATTTAACAGAGTTTCAAACTTCCTTTCTGCTTCTTGTTTACCCAAAGCAGATACAACCTAAAAAGAAGAAAATAAGTTAATAAGTTTAAATTTCATTATAAGAATAAAAATATTCAGCAGAATATGCTTATACATTTGTTCCATCTAATGAAACATATTTTAGCAATTCAGTTCCATTTCATTTTGCCATACTGCTTATGTGTTAACACTAAGGGAATGGTAATACTTCACAGCATTCTTCGGTTTAACTGCAATAATAAACACTTAACAAAATGCTCGATGTAAAGGGCTTAGAAAAACACCACCTCAATATCAAAGCATGATTATCATTTTGAAAACATTAATATCTGCTACATTTATTCACATAAATTCAGGATTTCATTCTACTTATAATGCATTGTTACATCACTTCTACAGAGCTATTTACTTGCTAACGTCGTATCCTTGAGCATATTGGTTAGCAGCCTTTTAAAACACCAATATTCTTAGAATAAGTAACATTGATATACTCACTGTCATCCAAAGATCCCCCAGGACATCAGCTTTTTAATACGGTATCATTAAATGTAACAAATAGATATCGCCCAAAAAAGACGGGTAGCAAAGATACCTGTCAGAAATGAAGGTATAAAGACTCAAACAACCAAGTTCCCTTAAAATTAACTGAAGCTTTTCAAGGCACACATTCCCCCTTTTTTGTCATTTTTGACTGTACCCTGCCTCACAGAATCTTCATACACCACCTGTAAGCCTCTTACCCAGTCTTCACGTATTTGTACTTTCTCAAGGTTTAGTTTTATTAAAACTGAATATTCCTAGGCCAGCCTGTGGCTCACTCGGTAGAGTGCGGTGCTGATAACACCAAGGCCACAGGTTCGGATCCTATATAGGGATGGCCGGTTTGCTCACTGGCTGAGCGTGGTGCTGACAACACCAAGCCAAGGGTTGAGATCCCCTTACCAGTCATCTTTTTAAAAACAAAAAAAACAAAAAAAACTGAATATTCCTTTCCCTCTGATGCTTTCTATAAAGGGATGTCTTTTGTTTTTGTAAAATCCTGTAGTTGGTGGGTTTGAGGCAGAGGTGTCAAAAAAAAATTTGTATCTTCTTTTATTAAACAATGTTCACCATTTTAAAAACTGCTGGAAAAAAATTTCTCAATGCTTCTACTTCTCTAATATGTGCCTTATATTTTAAGTCCCTTGAAATCAACAGAAGCTATTTTCTCTTTCCACACAGTCTAGTCCTTTAACATAATCTTTAGAAATAAAATGTAGAAATCAAATCTAAAAGTCATGGCTTCAATAACATATTAAAAAATGAGGTCTCTCTTGCTTCCTCTCACCATGTGATCTGCTTGTACTCGTCAGCTGCCTACTGCTTTCCACCATGAATTGAAGCAGCCTGAGGCCCATGCCAGATGCAGCTGTCCCAGAATGTAAGCCAAATAAACCTCAGTTCTTTATAAATTAAAAAAAAAAAAAAAAAAGAAAGTAACATTTAAGTTGCTTTGACTAGAAAACCAAAGATTTGGAAAAATCAAAGCCTACAGGCAGTGTTGGAGTGAGCAGGACTGAAGCCATGCTGGGACCTAAAACCACCTGGGCTGCAGGGGAGGAAGGCTAATTTTAAAAAGGACAGTTTTTTTCTCTCCACTCTTTCTTCCCACCCCCTGACTTTTTTTATCTTGCTTGCTAAATAGGAAAACAAGGCTGAGAAGTTAATCAATACTTTGCAAAGCTAACGGTTCTTTCTTTGAGACTTGTAGAGTTTTGAGAAGTGATCAAGGCCAAATGACTGGAAGCTGACCTTGGGCACCAGCCAAGTCAACCAGAACTCTGTGAAGCGAAACTATGCGAAAGAGTTTGTTCTACTCTGGAGCAAATCAAAATCCTGCAGAGTCCTGAGATAACAGCGAAGATGAGAATAGAAACCAGATGAGGCCTTGGAGAGACCTTGTACCTGACTTAAACATGGACCCCTAATAGTTCATGTCTCCTTCTCTCCTAGTTTTTTTTTCACTTCCACGTTTCATTCCCTCAACACCTCACCTGCCACCTTTAAAACCCCTTCAGTCAGTCAATCTAAGTCTTTGAGATGAGATAGCCTACCACCTCCTTCAGCTGAATACATCTGCTTTTCTAAACACCAACCATCTGACTTCTGAATCTTTTTTTCTTTCCTTCTTGAGAAGGCAGGCAGTCTGACCTGAGTTTGGTAACAGCAGCATGGTAAAGTGTAACAGAACACAGCGTTTGCAATCATAGAGAATAAACACTTTTTGAGGATTATGTGCCAAAACTACACCAATTGTTTTCATTTGTTTAATACCCTAAAATAACCATGTAAAGTATTTCTAACCATTCTCAATTTTCATAGAAGAGGAAATCAAGGTTAGGCAATGTCATTTACTCAAAGTACTGGAACACAAATTAAGGACTTGAGATTCTACATCTATATCATTTTTCATTATGCCCGAGTTCTCTGCTTCAGATTTCAGTAGTTACTTGACAGCCATGTCAATTTTGGGTCACTTACACGATTCCTCGAACCCTCAGTTTTCTCACCTCTTAAAATAGGAACAGGACTGGACGATTAGGTCTGTGGTTAGAGCTCGGTGTTGTAACACCAAAGGGAAGGGCTTGAATACCCGAACCAGCCGGCCACCAAATAAATAAAGTAAAATAAAATGGGAACAAACTTCTACCAAAAAGATTGTGGAGATTAAAATGCAAAAGTTTGCAAATCACCTAGCACAACTGATAGCATTTAAGAGGCTTTCACAAATTATAGTATCCTTTTCACCTGAATGACAGAGCAAGCGCTCTATGAGTACAGGTGTATCTTTTATATTGGATTTGAGTACTTGAGGACAAGGATCTTGCTAATCCTTGTAACGCCTTCAGTGCTATGACTACTGAGAAGCACATGTCGGTTTTTACCTTTTCTCCCAATTCTAAGTGTTAAAACGTATACTTTATTCACCTCTTATCTCAGTAAGCATCAATACCTGTACACAGATATTGGTACTTTTTATTTATTTATATATATATATATATATATTATATATATTCGGATAGACGAGTAGTAAGATACGATGGCAGTAAAGATTTCCCTTTAGACTTTTCACCTCTTATCTCAGTAAGCATCAATACCTGTACACAGATATTGGTACTTTTTATTTATATATATATATATATATATATTATATATTCGGATAGACGAGTAGTAAGATACGATGGCAGTAAAGATTTCCCTTTAGACTTTTTTCTATTCCTCTAGAGTGTGAAAAATATTTGCACTTTTACAAACATCACCTAACATCTTTATCTGACCTACCTCCTTATTCATAAAGCCTTCTTTAAGATAGTTTTCAACCTCTGGTCTTAAAGATATCTTAGGGAAAACAGACATTTTTCTTGCTGTTTAGTTTTCCCTCCAAGAGAAATGCTGGAAAACGTTGGTTTTTCTTTTTCCGAATAATAATGAGCAGTGTCTTGACAACGAATAGCCACCCACAAAGTGCCGGGGCCACCAGGTGCCCTAGGAAGTAGCGCTGATCACGCCATGTTACATTCAGAAACGCAGAGGAACGTCCACACTTATCCAGCTGAGCCAGATTAGAAGCAGCTTCCTCGCCTCCACCACACTCGTCTCTGGTCCTCTGGAGATGCTCACAGAAATCACTGAAGCAATACCACTCACGTTGCAGACAGAACTAAAAATAAAACAGTGGGCCTAGTGACTGTATCCGTGGTGAACTGGACACAGACCTGGTAACCAGGTTGGTACCCGCTCTATCGCTTTCAATCTTACATCCCAATTTCCAAACCCGCGCCCCCAGCTTCTCAGCGAAACGGCGCTTCCGGTTTGCGTCACTTCCTGCGCCTACAGCCCAAACCTCCCTTACCGCTTCCCTAATGCGCAGCCGCAAATCGCCGCCGCTTCACGACTCCGGTGGTTTCGAGCCCAGTGGGCGGTGCTTACTTTTAGGGCGGGGCTTGGGGGCAGGGGGTTGTTTAAATAGCTTGGTGTGGCCAGGCGGGCGCGCAAACAGACCTAGCTCTTGGGAGGGGCTGTCTGGCTGTGGTGTAAATTGGGGGAAACGGCATGGGTTGAGTGGAGGACATTGCTGGCCTGAATAAGGGGAGGTGCCCTACTAGTGTTCTGCTGGGTGGCCTCGAAGTAGAAGATGAGGCTAGAGTTTATTATGATGAATCAGCCATCCTTCGATTTCATGAAATCACCTCTGTGGGACATGCAGATCTGACTCCAGTTGTGAATAAACAACACTGTTCATACTTTTGAACTGTTGGTTTAATGGTGTGTTAATATCCTTCAGGGCTGGCCGGTTGCTCCGTTGGTTAGAGCGTGGTGTTGCAAGGTACAGTGTTCACTCCTGTCCCGGCCAGCCGTGAACAAGAACAAAAAATCTTTGAATGTTCAAATAAAACTTAAAACCCACAGATAATATTTACAATTAGTTATAAGGCTAACTGCTACGTGTATCGTAATTGACATATACTTTAGAGCTTGGGAGACCCTTGGCATAATCTTTTTTTGGTCATAATCAGATGACATCTGTCATACTTAGACGAAGAAAAAGATTCAAAGGAAGAAGTTAGCTAACCAAAGTTACTGAGCCATTCTATGATTGAACAGGAAGGTAAAATTTATTCTCCTGTGTCCTTGTTTTGGTGTTTTTTGCAGTACACCATGGTCACTTACACGTAACTGTAGGAAAGGATTTTTTCTTGTCTTTTTCTCTTTAATTTTCACACAGAAGTTAAATATATATAAAATAACTGCTTTCAGTGATACACCAACTCTTCTGTAACATGTGGCCATTATGCAACACAACAACTCTGCAAGGTGGTTATCTCTGTATAGAGATGAGTAAACCAAGGCTCTCATCGCTGAAATAACTCTCTGTGACCTCACAAGTAATTAGAAAGTCAGGATAAGAACCATAGTAATTTGGCTTCTAAAGCCAATACTTTGTCCTTGCACCATAGCATGTTTCTTCAATAAATTCATGGGGTTCTTTTGTGGCCAAATTATCTGGAAATGATGTAGGAAATGTCTAAACTAGACATTTCCAAAGGAATTTTTGCAGCCTCAACTTTATGGTGACCATAGGACCAATAATGATTGGAATTTGTATTTAAAAGGTAAGGCAGAAGAAGGAACAAGTTGAACTAGATTATAAACTCCATGAGGTTAGAGACTTTATCCCACCACTGCATACCCAGTATACTAGCACATAATAGGCACTCAAATATTTATTGAATGACTAAACGAATACACGGATGGATATCCTTATGAACTAGAGAAAGAAAATGCTGATAAGGCATATATTTGCTGGAAATTAGTTCACTAGTTCAGCACACATGGACAGTGCTGAGGACATCTAGACTATTCTTAGCTAGATATTATTGCAAGAAAAGCATATTACAAATCTGAAGTTGTCATAGTGTATATACTATCCAAGCAAAGAAATAGCCCTATAGGAATATAACCACTTAAGAGTCATTTAGGCTATAACAAGGGTGATATGGCCCTCAAGGCTGGAGAGTGGGTGGGGATTGAGTGGGAACAAAAAAAGCTTAGACATAATCTTATCATCTTAAATCTTAGTTTGTGCCATTCCAAAACTTAACTTTAGCAAAAAAAACAAGCAAACAAAACTTATTCCTTAGTATTTAATTTCATGGTGGAACTAAGAGGATATTAGGGGCATAGAGAAAAATCATCTAGAAAGGTTCTTTGGGGGGCTGATCATTTTAAAAGGTTGAGAAATATAATTTAGGCATTCACTTCCCTACCAATACAAAAAAAAAAGAGAGAGAGTAATTTCTGTCTAGTTTTCCCTTTTCATAATTATTTCATTTTACCCTTTTATTTCTTCTATGACAGCCATGCCTTCTTTAACCTTTCAAAATGTTATTCCAGATTGATCCTGGGAAAACAGTCTTAATTCTGGTTTCCTGCTACCTCTATTCAAGAAAATTTATTTCCCTCCTAGCTTCAACCGTATAAGGTTCTGATAAAGATAACATGAGACCTACAGTCATCTGTTCACCCATAAATCCAGTCCTAGTCCAAGCTGTTCAGATTTGTTTGACTTCATCTGAGACACTATAAATTAGGACCTTTACTATCTGGAAAATAAAGGGATGAATAAACATAATTTAAAGAATGCTGCCAGGATTAAACAAACAAACTTTAAACTGGTTCATTTTTATTTTAAGAAACAGCACTATATACCTTACCCAGGACATGCCATTTTCCTTGTTGTGCTTAGCATATTTTGCTTTGGGGGACACCGCTCTAAAGATCCAGCAGTCCAACTGTTACCAGGCTTAAATCCCTACCTGCCTTATCTTGAATACATCTTTCCTACCTAAGTAGGGACCAACTACATAGATTCTGGAAAAGAAAACGGCTTTAACTTATGAGTGTGGAGTTTAACAGGATTCTTGGGTGATCCATATCTTTGCAAAAGTTAAAAACGTGACATCTGGTGATAGGCTGCTAGGGTTCAAATTCCAGTTTTTATATCCTCAGGCAAATTATTAAAGTTCTTTGTGCCTTAGTCTCCTCATCTGTTAAATAGAGATAATAGTTCCTATGTCATATTTTTACTAAAAACTAAATCAACTAAGTGAAGGGCTTACAATGGTGCTAGAACAAAGTCAGCCCTCAATAAATGTTCGACAATATTAATATCCATGTGTTGAAAGAAAGGCTATAGGATAGTGGAAGATTGTTCAGGAGGGAAGAACTAAAGTCACCCAAATTCTGATATATCAGGAACTAATTTTTCCATCTAAAAGAGTAGTGAAGATTTCAGATATTTAAATGAGGTATTATGGAAATGTGTGTAAGAGTTTCCACCCTAAGGAATAGGACTGTATTAATGGGGAGCTACAGTTGCTTCTAAAGCATAGAAGACCTAGAAAATTAAAGAAATTGGATGAGCTTCAAAAACCTCTTGTAAACTGGTAATTTACAAGCCACCATGACTGCCACGGAGCAAGGAGAAAGGGAGAATCAGCAGAGCCCCTGAAGGACTCCATGTGTTCATGATGAATGCTTTGAGGTACCTGTTAGAAGGAACATTATCAGATGTGGGAAGACTGGTCATATTGAGCCCTAAAGTACAGAAGAGGTGTTAGTTCTCATTGACTGAATTATGATCAAAGTCAGAGACCTAAAGATATTTTGACCTGATAGATGTTTTGAAACTTAGAATATTATGGCTCCTTTTTGTGAACATAAAATAAGTTTTTGAGAATTTTACCCATATACTCTTACTGCTGACAGGAATAACATATTAAATTTCTTTTAAAGAGTGTTAGTCTATCAATAAATGTTTACTGAATGAGATAATGTTGATTTATTAGACCATATGGCTAAAGGGAATTTCCTGAAGGGAAATCTACCAACCCCAATGCTACGTTTTGAATGTCCCCTCCAAAGCTCATATCAGAATTTAATTCCCAATGTGGTATTTAAAAGATGGGGCCTTTAAGAAGTGATTGGATTGTGAGAACTATGCTCTCATGAATGGACTAATCCATTCATGGAGTAATGGGTTAATGGTTTAATGGATTATCAGGAGAAGACTTGTAGTTTTATAAGGAGAATGAGTGAGCACGTAAAAGCACTCTTCCTCCTCCTGGCCACGAGATACTCCATGTCACAACAGGACTCAATAGAAACTCCTCACCAAGAAGAAGGGCCCTCATCAGATGCACACCTCAACTTTGGTCTTCCCAGACTTCAAAACTGTAAGAAATAAATTTGTTTTCTTATATGTTACCCAATTTCAGGTATTTTGTTATAAGCAACAAAAAACTAATACACCCAACTCATCTGGAGACCAATGAATTAAACTAAAATCACAATGGACATTGCTATAAAAGTTGAGGAGAATTATTTCTATTTTTTTTTAAAAGGGTAAGTTTCATTCCTGGGTGGTAGAACATATTGTCTCTTGAACTCTTCATTCAAACCATTGATCTTAGATAACTAACATATTGAGTTCAATTCCAGCTTCAGCCAGTTCTTCCAAGTTGATGTTAGATTATAATAATTGTAGAGAGTTAGAAATCTTGATTCTCATTTGATTTTTAGAATACGGTTTTTAGGTAAATACATGTATCGGACAAAAGTCCTCATTTAGGAGACAGCAGTCTACGGAGTGGCAACAACCCATTTAATCAATTCTAATTAAATAATGTTGATTCTCATTTGATTTTTAGAATTGGGTTTTTTAGGTAAATTCATGTATAGGACAAAAGTTCTCAATTAGGAGACAATGTCTACAGAGAGCATGGCAACAGCCCATCTAATCAACTCTAATTACTGCTTAGGTATGGGATTGTATACGTAAAGGATTTTAGAGCTAACAGGTGGTTGTCATACTGATCCTGTTAAGAGATTTTAAGAATTGCTGAAGGGAAAGATGTGAAAAAATGCTTGCTAAGGGCAAGCTGTTTGTTGGTGGAAACTTTACAGATAATTATACTTAGATTTGATCATAAGAATGTAACTTTGCTTAAATCATTTGAGGAGAGGTTATATTTTAGATAATGATCACAGTCTGACCAACTTAGCTGTTCACAAATTGTACTTTGGAATGTCACATTAATTTTACTGATGTTACTAGTTTCCATTGTTTAACCTATACTTAGCCATAGATAACTTTTGTCACATTGCCCATGTCTTTGTGTCCTTTCGAAATGACTGAATCAAC